AGTTTCAGGTATAAGCAATCCAATTTTTGCTTAGGGCCTCATACTTTTAAGGCCTTATACATATATAAGTATATAGCTTAATTGTCGATATTCGTTCTCGGTCCATTACTCAAAATCGGAGGTCTAGAGAAACCAGGATCACTTACGCATTTGATGCCCTCAGTACAGTGGGTGATCGGTTAACGAACATAATCCGTTCCAAGACTGTTCGTTATCCGAATTGTTCGTTAACCGATCACACACTGTATATTGAAATAAAACAAAACGGCATTAAAAATCGTACGTTTATTTGAAAAATCAAGGTTTTTTTCCCCTTTCATGTACGAAAAATGCAATGGAAAAATTAATATATTACAAATGTTTTTGAGGCCCCTGTAAATATAATGGATCAAAAGAACATGTTAGACCCAGCTCGAAATTCTATACTATCAATAGATAGGATCCTAGACCTCATAGGATATCAAATATCGTGCAATATGAGCTTACATTATATAAAAGGGGAATAATATTCTACGTTCGTACTTACCTAGGTCTAGGGTCGGATTTACATAAAATAAACTACATCTTAGGGGCTTGTACTACGAACGTACTGTTTAGGGCCTCGTCCTTTTAAAAGGAAAAATTTCTCTTATAGTTTAGGGCTACAACAAACCTTATTCCAGCGTAGCCTAGGACCTGGCACAATTTAAAACCGTTACTACTTTAAAACTGTTCTTACAAATTTACAATTCTGTTTCTTACCAAAAACATAATAACGTCAGTTTATTGATAATCGAACAGAAAAAAGATCAATGAATGGATGAAGCAATCTTATATCCAATTTAGAAAATGAAGTAGAAATACTTTCACTGATGAAGCTTATTTTCTAGAAAACAAGGATCTTAACATCCCCCTACGCAAACATAATTACAACAGATCCCAAAGCAGATTCAACTAATTGCACAATGCTGTGCGAACATCTCTAATTAGTTATCATAACCCCACTATTTAAGCCCTTTTAGAAAATCATTCTACAACAAACGGGTGCCATGTTTGTTCTCGATTGCACTAAACCTAAACACGAACCTCATTTCCTATAATTGTTTTAAGTGCTTTAATTGCATGCTTCTCTTTAGTTTTTCTTCTTATTCTCGTTCCCCTTCTAACCCCCTTTTTCTTTACTTCTAACCCGTTACTCTGTAGATAGGTTGTACTTAATGGAAGGAAACGCAAGTTAATAGAAATCCATTTCTTTCTTAAAGCCTACTTAGGCATAGATGAGGTCTGCACGCAAACCAGCTATTAGCCCTTTTATCTATTTTTTTCCTCTCATTGATTCTCTCTCTTTAAACGATTTAATGACACAAATGTCGTATTAACTGATCCATTCGAAAGTACTTATTTCGCATTAGTACATAGAGTTGTCGCCAGATGGCAGTAATAGCGCCGCCGCCATATTTTTTTCTACAAACCTTCGTCACGAATGTGGAATATGTTCGAGTTTATTTTAATTAATTTTCTTGTCGTGTACATAAGAATATTTTTAAATATTGTTATTTTTAAAATNTTTTTCCAAGGAGAAAATTAACATTTTTATATCGTATCGATTATTTTTTAAATTAATTTATTTACAGTTATAATGGTTTTTATTTTTTAATATCAAAAGCGTTTAAAATTAATTTAATTTTTATTAAATTAAAAACATTTTCTTCGAGTCTTCTTACTTGAGAAAACGTTTGTAAGCGCTTCAATCAGTGAGAATTACATCAGTCTAACTGAATTTTAGTGTTTAGTAGTGTACAAAAGTTTTTTCTATACCTGATTTTTTTTTAATTTAATGCATTTAAACTTCATTATCAATACATAGAGTCGCATTTAAATTCGGTTTGTGTCTAAGTTACAACATTTAATAATACTCTTTTTCACAAAATAATAATACATCTAAAAACGTGAGGCCCTGAACCGAACCTCGTGCTTCTAAACTTAGATAAGGACCTCACGCTACAAGAGTATAGTATGCCTCATATCGCGAGACCCTAAGCCATTGCCTGTTTACCTTATGTGTTAATTTGCTCACGTTAATATATCTTTAATAAATTTATTTTATATTTATATTACATAATCCCCAAATTAGGAAAAATAAGGATATTTTCAATCTCTTATTTTCTTATTTTGTGAATAATAAATGTGTAATTATATTGGCTTAATTATATTATAAGAAGCACTAGTTATAGGCTATATATGCCGAAGGGCTGTTCCTTCAATGAGGCCAATACAAGGAATGGATGAGTCTGTACTAAATCATTAACGTCCAATCCAAGTTCGAACCCGATCCAGATTCATATAAAAGAGTTATAAGAATTAGATAGGATTTGAACCCGAACTCCTCAAAGAGGTAACGCGACATAGAAATAATGCAACAAGAACAAAAGATATAGAGAAGTATAAATTCGAGCTTGTATATCTAAAAAAAAAAATGGTATGTCTGGTTGTTTGTGTCATGATTTCTTGGAAATTAAAAGAATTAGAAAGGTAAAAAGTTCAGGAGTTATAGTGGACAGTTTTTCCTAGTGCGGAGACTAGAATCTTTATTTATGCTACACCCAGCATTCCTAAATGCAAAATTCCAGCTTCTCGGATATTAAAAGAGCTGGAAGGTTGAAATTTTGTATTCACTTTGGCCGTGCTTTTGTCTATCCGCAAAATTTCTCAGAATTTATATCTAGAAAGTTGAAAATTTTCGGGAGTTTTGTACTGATCAGTCTCCTCTCACTGATCCATTTGTGCTAACTTAGCAGTGTGAATTCAAAAGTCTAGTTTTTTCGAAACAAATAAGAGTTTATATTATAAAATTACAATTTATATGCAAATATGATATGTATATATATCACTCCCATTTATGCCATTTTTATTAATAATAATTTTGATGTATAAATTCTTATTTATTTAATATAAAAATTTAATAAAACATTTAATTTATAATAAATATTTTGAATTATAAATTTAAAATAATATTTTATCTACTTATATTAACATTTTTCAAATACAGTATTAAACATTAGAAAAATGCCATTTAGACAGCAAGATATTGCCACGAAATTAACTTACAAACAAGGACAAAACCTTAATTTTATATATATAAAAGTATGTTTAATTATAATTTTACATAAATATAATGATGATAATCAAATTATATGATTTTTTTTCTATAAAAATGTAGAAAATTTCTTAAAATATCTCCAAAAGATCAAATCACGTCTTCTTCACACATCAACTAATAGAAGGTAAATTTCTAATAGTGTAATTAACATAACGACAAAATTATTTAATATTACTTAAAGCGTAACATCAAGTAACACATTTAAACTTTTGGAAATAGTTAATAAAGGTGTCAGCTTTAAGATACAGTAAAAGTTACTCCACGATATCTCTTGGGAGAAGCTCGAATCATTCCGCCATTAATAGATAATCGAAGATGAAGTTCTAAACTTCCTACTTGGATCCTAGTCTAAATAAGTTGAAACCGTACAAATTTAGGATTAAATTTCCCAAAGGATAACGTTTTTAGTCAATGAATTGAAACTTTCTAACAGATTAAAAGCACCGAATGGACTCATTTCGCCTTTATAACCCAACAAGAAGGAGCTTTCTAGTTTTAAAAGGGTTAAAAATCTCTAGAGATTTAAATAAGTGGATAAAAGTCATTAACACTCTCTAAATATTCTGTTTAATGTTATAATTTATATAAAAACAATTCAACAAACCATATTTACTTATTTAAAATTTCAGTTTTTTTTTGTGTGAATGTGTTTGTAGTTCTTTCTTGCTGTTAGATATTGTGTTTAAGAGCTGTGAGAATCTAAGAAAACAATTGTTTTTGCTGTAAATGTTTAAAGCCGAAACGAGATTTTACAAAAGAGAAAATAAAAATAATGAAAGTTGTTCTTACGAGTGACGTGAGGATGAACGATGTCGAACAAAACCATTGATTGCTAAAGCACTAAGCCTAATTGAAAAGACCCCCTTCTTTCCTCTATTTGATCACTGTTAATGATTAGTGGGAAATTGTTCGTTTTCCCCCTCTTCTTGCTTTACTTCTTTATCATAGAAGTGGTTCATTCGAGTGTCCGTTTGCGTTACTAGCACGCCATTAATTTTGTATTTTCCACCCCCTCAATTTTTTTCTTTCTTTTACTTCTAACCTTAACGTCAAATCTAACTTGTAGCCATTTATGTTTAAAACTAATCAATGTGTTTTCTTTTTTCTTTTCTTGTCTTTAATCAAATTACGCTTAATTTTATAGGAAATTAAAGATTATTCTTATTTAACTTCTTTCTCTTTTATCATTAATTAAACTCGTTTAATCAAAATAAAGTAATTGGTCATTTTGGTTATAAAACTGTGTGTAAACTCGATAATTTTTTTTTTGTCAAGTTTTAATCAGAATAAGGATAAAAATAACTAAAATTATTATAAATTATGTAAATTTTATGTGTCATACGATTAATACCTTCAGAGCAACATATACACTCTCGAATTTAGTGAAGAATTTGACATTTCTCTCGAATTTATTGTGTATTTGAGTTTAAATCACGGCGGTTTTAAGTTCCGCAGGAGTCTGTGCGTACCTGAGGCCCCTAAAGCGAAAGGCCTTTTACTTATAAGCTTATACAATATAAATTCCGTATCATACGCTATTTGATATTATACCAGGCGATCCTGGCTAGTAAAAGTACTGGACCAAGATAGAGCATTATCGACAAGCATTTATTTGTGCGTGTCTGAGGCCAAAATGCGAGATTAGAAGAACGTATATTTAAAACTCTATTTCATGTAAGCTTATATTATATTATAAAAACCCAGTATCACATTGTATTTAATATTTTACATAATATTTTAAGGTCTAGTGTCTTAGTACTAGTTTTTAAGCACTATATCAAGGTGAGTAACGACAAATATAGGCCTATTTGTGCGCATCTAAGGCCCCCAAAGCGCAAGACCATGGGCAAATAATAATTTGAGAGGCCTCTTTTATATAAGTTTTTTATTATAAAACTGTATCAAACGATACTAATATTGAGTAGATCTCTTACTGCAAAATCGAGATATCAAAATAGGTGTTCACAAGCAAAGATTTGTACGTATTTAAGACTCTCAAAAGCGCGAGATTCTATAGAAGTATAGATTTGCGAGGGCCTTTTCACATGAATTTGTATAATATACAAGTAAAAGCGCCTATCATTTGATATTGAAGTCTAGTCCTGAAATTCCAAATATTTAAATTACAGAGTCTAGGATTAGGAATACTTTACTAGGAAGGGTATCGATAAGCATAAATCCGTGCATGTATGAGGCCTTTAAAACATTATGCCCTAAAAAAAGCCTAATTTGTCTGTACTTAAATAGTCACTGTTTCAGCATGTTTTATCAGGAAAAAAAACTTTATAAGATAAAAATAATGGTTAATAAACAGTTTTATTTTAATCTTTTCCTCAAAAAAACTCGATAACATTATTGAAAAACACTAATTAGTCATTAATTAGCGTTTTATACGATAATATCCTGAATTAATCCACACTTAATTAAGGAATTAAGCAAAGCGTCGCTCGGATATCGAAACCAAATCATGTAAAAATATTAAAAATTTTTTGATAATAAAAATGATATCTAGCGCAGTTTTAGCCTCTTCCATTATTTTATTATTATGATTTTTTTTAATTCACATTTCTACCGTTCGATATCTTCGATTATGATGAAAACGCTTTCTTAATCGATAGTGTTTAGTATAGTAGAGATTTTAAACTAGTACTACCATCTATGGACAGAAACAATAACTAAATACATTTTATGGCTTCTTTATTTGATTTAAAAAGTATAAATTTTGATATATTTATGCTCGATTTGATTAAAGAAACATAAAATTTTGCGAATTCTAAGCAGGGTTGGGTTCAGATTTATCGTGGCTCTTCTCCTTCACTAAATACATGTGATAAATTATACATATTAAGTTTTTTAGAGGATGAAGTGAGGCCCCTCTTAGCAGAGGCCTTAAGCGGTACTTTGTTTTTTTATGTGCAAATCCTGCTGTAATAAAGTAAATGATAGAATTTAGATATGTGTAAATAATAAAAATGTAGAAATTTTGAAAATGGAGGAGGAAGAAACAGAAAGAAGAGTTTAAGATGTAGAAGAATAAAAACTACTAATATTTAAGAAAATTACAGGTTTATTTTTATAAATATAAACATAGGTGTTGATTTATTGATGTAGTGTGCCATACCCATCGCCTTCTGGCACCATTAATATAATGGAATCGACTGAAGTAGAGGGTCAAAGCTGAAGGTAGAAGACTTTTCGAATCTGTTTATACAAGTTCAATACATCTGTTAAATATATCTTATGATTTAGAGTATATTTTTTATGTATAATTCTTATAAATAGTTAAAGAGCACAGTTTACAAGTTTGAGTCACACTGAAATGAGGAATGGTTATAAGTCTTATATTGCAAAAATAGTCGTATTTTATATTCTGATAAAGTTAGTAGTTAGGTCTGTCTGTGCCATTGGAAAAATTAAGCAGTAAGTGTTCTAATAAATAAAATAATGATTATAATTAATTAAAAACATTAAAATAATAATTAAAAATAATTAAGTACTTGGCATAATTTGTCGACACAATTTTTACATTACATGTTAATAATTCTAGTACGTTAAAGAAGAAAGAAGAGTAGATCATGTAGGAAAAATTTCTCAACCAGTAGATCGCGATTCCCTTAAATAAAATCACTTGTATCACAGCGTATTTAAGATTGAAAACTTAAGTTATATTTGTTATTTAATAAAAGTTATTTATTTATTTATTTATCTTTTGCCTTCTTTAATTGAAAGAAAATCAAAATTTACATATGTCATATTTTTTTAACATTTCAGAAATAAACTACATCAAAACACTTTTTCTTCGTTACTACAGCAATAAAATAACAATACAATTTTATATTATTTTCTAACGGCTTGATCCTGGTGTGAGAGAATTGATTCAGAATGTCTATAAGAAGAATCTGTAAGTTTGTAACAGCATTTCTACAAGTTTAATATGATTTCTTCACTGATTACAATAGTTATTTACATGTAATTACTTAATCAAGTTTAAAGCAGAATTGATTTTAAATCGCTCATCATTTTCTTTCTCTCTGAATTAGTTTACCAACCTCTTCATGCTCCTTTAATCTACAATCATTATCTTTCGAAATCTCATTATGTTCTTTCAACTTATATTCATTACATTCTTCCAATTCTTATTCAATATGTCCTTTCTAATCGCAATCACCATCCTGTTTCAATTTATACTCATCAAGCTGTTTTAATGATTAACTGCGCGGCAAACTATTATTATAGCAATAAAAAAGATCCGAGTTCGAATCCTCGTAATTTTTCATAAATAATTCGGGTCATGGCCAGAATTTTATTTCTCATCTTTTTCTCATGGAATTACGTGTAAGGCCCATAGATGTGGGACAAAAGCTGAGTTAATCTCAACGCCATGTTTAAGTATAGTTAACATATTTAACATCAACGTTGATATACAGAATAGTTAATACGCTCAGGCAATGCATTATGGACTATAGCTCATAATATCCCATGTTGCAATGCACTATGCATATTGCATCATCTGTATTTCTTGTGTCTTCTAGTTCCGGTTTCTTCTGTTCTTTTTCTATTGATACTATGAGCTAATGTACTGTACCTCGTTTTAACAAGACATAACTGACAGAAGCAGGCGTGTTACAAAAGAAAATAATAAAAAAAGGAACTGAAGGATCCGAAATCAAAAGACATAAGAAGTAAGTTAACGATATTAACAAGATCAAAACGAGAGTCACTAGGGTCTTTTGGCGACCTCGCTAAAGACCATAGTGATTTACTATTGCCCATCCAACAAATCAAATCAAATTTAATGTACTTTTTTTCAATTCATTTGATTTTTCGAATTTTATTGTCCTTTCTCGTAATTTTTACTTAAATATATTTTAAAATATTCCTTGAGAAATAAGTAAATAATAACTTCTTTCTTGTCTTTGATAATTAAAAATAATTTTCATTCGATTTCTTTTATTTAAGAATGCAGGCTTTAATTAAGAACTATAAAGCCTTCATTTAAAAATTGGAAGTTATTTTTTTATATTTTATCTCTTTATTTTTAAACTTTACATGAGCTTTTAAAAGACGTAATGAATAAAAAAAAAGTTTACGATTTATTTAACATCCTTAAAACATGAGGATTAAAATCACTTATCCAATTATAATACAAGAAAAAAGAATAAACTAATTTGATAGTTTAAATTATCTAATGCTAAAAGAAGAAGGAAAAAAGAAAAATAAAAACAACGAAGATACAGTAACAAAGAGAATGACAAAATTACTGGAAGGACGGACAAATTCGATAAAGTATCGTTGAGTAGAATCCACTTAATCTTTCAGTGGTCCGTAAATGAATTACTTATGGTCATCAATTAAGGATCAGACCTGTCAAGACAGGCCTGTGACGTAAATCGTTTGTTGTGACGTAAATGGTGTTCATCAAACAGAATTTTCACATAAAAGTAATCAGGATGAACTTTTATATATTATTGAGAGTTTTCTTGACCAAAAAATAGCTTTCCACTTGATGCAACTTCTATTATTTTTGCTTCAGAAATAGATTTCTTATGCGGCCATCTTGTATTTTCTTTTTAAATTTTGAATAATTTAGATAAAGTTGTGTATAAATGCATATAAAATAATGGAAGGTAATCTTTTTAAAATGTTTACAAAGATGATCCCTAAAGAAATTTGTTTATTGCCTATTATACAATTGAGAAAATACTAAATAATAGTTTTTAAGTTATCACAAC